TGTTTACAGGAAGGAAATGTATCCAGAATCATAGTTTTAACTCTGCAATTCTAAAGGAGATGGGGAAGTATTTTTTAAACACTACCCTGTATGATTCCCCTGTTGGATCACCAGAATATTCCAGCTGGTACTTTATACTGACTAGTTGGTTTGAAGATACTTTCAGCATAAAGACCTTGAAAAGAAATTTAGCTTTTGCTATAATGAAAGATGCAATGCAAATATTTAAGGGTTTACTTACAGGTGACCCAGGAGTTATTCTTGACACCACTAGAGGCATTTTTTGATCAACACCACCCTAAACAATGCCAAGGCAAGAATGACCATGAATACAGTATCAGAGTAAATCTAAGCACTATATTAAATAGCACATACTTTATCGTTTGGTTCTATATGAATAAAACATTCACGCTTTGTACTTCGATCTCATCATGTATTTCCTCAAAGATGCCTATACTTTAAGGCTGTGCTAACACAGGATCAAGCTATTTTAAGGATCAAACTGTAAGTCTCCAATCATTAACACTCTTTAAGCCCTTCTGGCAGTGAAATCTAACAATATAAAAACAACTTTCCCAGTGCTTGTACAGTGAAACAGATGGCCCCAAAATGTCCATTGATACTTGACTAAGGAGAGAGTCCGGGCCTGATTCTCAATCACATATCATGCCATATGTAATGGCAATGTCATGGCACATTAAAGAGGACATTAATCAGAAATGTATTGCGTTAACATTTATTTCTGATTTCTTCATATGTATTAACCTTCATTTCTTCAATAACTAACTTGCCATGACCATACCCAATGGTATATCATTGACCTTTGTTCAGTTGAGAGTAAAAGTCTGCTGCCTATACTTAAGCAACAAAGTCCACAGACAGGCACCTAGAAAAATGGTACATATTGCTAATACGTTAAGCACCTACTAACTCCCATTAAAGCAAATGGGAACAGTGCTTGTTTTGAACGTCAGGCCAGTTATTTACTACCTATATTTCAGGAATTTATTGTTTGGAAACTGTTTATAAAGTTCTTGACTTGGGCTTGGGAGAAATCCTTCTGGATAGATTAGAATGGAGCACTTATTTCAGAAAGATACAAAAATACACACTGAATGGAAACAACAACAGAGATTTGACAGATCAAGACACCAATTCCTTTTAACTACATAATTCACAGCATGAATGACACATGCCCCTGGAGGCTGGGAGGGCGCAGCGACAGTGGGGCACCAGCAAGCGGGAACTGCCCACAGGCGGCCACGGTGATGGCAGCAGCAAGGGCAGGTTAAACGGGGACCACCCACAGGTGGCTGCAAAGGTGTCAGTGGCAGGAGGGGGGAGGGGGAAGTGGCGGGGGGGGTGGACCACCTGCAGCCGCTGTCCGTGCTGTCAGCGGAGGTGAGCAGGGACTGCTTGCAGCTGCTGGCGGCCATGTCTGCAGGAAAGGGAGGCAGCAACCAGCCACAGAAGCCAGCGGTGGCCATGTGCACCCCCTGCCACGCATTGCCTATGATTAACAGGGTTCTAAACACTGTCCATTTACCTTTAGATTAAATCCAAACTTCCCATCTTCATCTGGGGTGATATGCACCAAAAGTAAATCCCCATCTATTACTTCATTCTGTAACGCAATAAAGATACTTTAGATTTTCCAGTTTTCTAGACAAAATAGAAAAATGTATTATTTTCTATACATAACGGATCAAAAAAACCCCAAACCTCCAACTAAATGTATCATAAAAAGAAAAAGAGCTAGGACAGTAAAATACATTACAATTTGATCTTCATGTTTATTACAGAGGAAATGGCAGTGACTGTGACAGTTGACATTACATTTTTTTTTCTTAAGCCTGTTACTCATAACCTTTTGGAATTGTCATTGGCTAGGTTTGATATTTTCAACATTTGGTCTCTGTCAAACATGATTTTTCCCCCGTGCAATTGGGGCCAAAACCAGATCAACCATCTTTAATTAAAATGACTGAAAATGTTTTCCATGATAGATGGGGTATTGGAATCTTTATTTTTTAAAAAATTATTTTTGGAAGAGTTTCAGAATCCAATGTGGCTGAAGCTTAAGACTTAATAACCTTCATCCAGGGGAAGTTCATTTCTGCTGCTTCGCAGCAAATTAGCTGCTATTCAATTGAGATGTTGGCCTTTAATTCTCAAAATCAATACTCTCCTAAAGTTCACAACTAAGGAAAGAGTGCTTATACATAGAGCTGGCCTGAAAATTTGAGGAGAAATCTTTTCCTACTAAAATGTCTCCCAAACCAAAGCTGTTCCTCAACCCTTGCTGGGGTCGTTTGACCCCAGTACTCTTTCCTGCCATGGCAGGGGGTCAGACTTGATGATCTGCTTAGGTCCCTTCTGACCCTACAAACTATGAAACTATGAAAATGAGGGGTTTGGCTTTTTTTTTCTTTTTTCTGACCACATCAATTTGAATGACAGTTTAGATAGGAAATCCAGAAAAGATTCATGCAGACTTATTTGGTTTATTAGATTTAGACCACGACTTTCCAACTGCTGAGTGGCTGGGGGCCACAGACCACCCTCAGTATATGCTATGCAGGCTGTATACTGTGCGACATGCCCCTTCCTCCCTAGCTGCATTGAGCTAGCACCTATATGCCCTGCACAATGTGCCACACTGCAGGTGATCACAGCTGTACAGTGCCAGCACCCCGTGCCATGCAGTAACCCCAGATCCTTCTAAGCCCCCTGACCACGGGCTCCTTCAGCCCTGCAGGCTGTGCCACCCCACCCCCAGAGACAGGGGCAGAAAGTGGAAACTGGAGGAGACTGGGGGAGCCTTGAGACTCCAGAAGTGGCAGCAGCAGCTGGAGTTGTGGGGGGAGTGGCGCCCGGACCAGAAGCCTAGGGGCTGCATGAGGATTGCAGCCACCAGTTGAACAGTCCTGATTTAGGCATACAAATATGCCGAAATATATATGTTACCAACACACACAAAGTTTAAAAATTCCAATGGGATGAAAATATAGTTTTCTGGCTACTTCTAGTTCCATTTGTATAATGCACCTAATTTAGTGAAGAATTATACTGTTAAGGAGAGCAAAGAAAAACATTAGGCATTTTAATGAACATTAAAAGGACATTATAACAGTCAATATCCTAAAAGCAAAGAAAAAAGGCATGAGATACTAAGTTATGTAAGTACATATAGTTTACAAGAGATTTGTACAGAACAGGGAATGCTGTACAGAAAGAGTGAGGATGAAAAAAACAGTGGGAAACCCCAATATTTATTTTCCTCCTCTCTCTGCTTTTCATGCTAACATATTGTTCTTCCACTTCAAGGAAAGTCATTTATCCTCTTTCCATAACACCATTATGACTCCTCTTATTGCACTGAAGCATTTTAATGTAGGTCTTACCCCAACACATTGTCTATTCATTGTGTTCTTCCTCTAAAAATACTCATTTTTTACTATCCGTCCCTCCTTTCTGTGACCCCTCCCAACCCAACCATTGTTTTAAATCTCCCTCACTCTCACATTCCCCCTTACTGGTCGTTTATTTAGATAGATTCACTGGGGAATTTTGAGGAAGTAACAGTCAAACTCCCAAGGAAGCAGGACAAGGAGATGACATTTTTTCTGCAAAGATTCCCAATGTTACGGAAGTTTAGAGAAAAGGGGGTCCTGTGTAAATGAGGGACTGTTACTAGCCAGTACTGGAGGTGGTTCTCGTCAAGGTGATGCAGAGGATATCTGGGCAGCAGCCATTGGAAAGGCAGAACGTGGAGGCTGCCTTATTGAGGTTTGGAGTACTGAAAAGTATCGCTTTAACAGGAGATGTGGAAGGGAGGGTCAAGAAACTTGTGGGGCAGGAACAGCCTGGGAGAAGCAGAAAGCTGCTGCCCAGCTGGATCTAAGACCAAAAGTCTGGAGCTTCCCTTAGGTAGGCCTCTTAGTATTTTTTTTTTTTGTTTTGGGGGAGGGGAAAGGAGGGGTTGTTGTTGTTTGTTTGTTTGTTTTTTAAATAAACCTAGTTGGAAATCATGGGGCAGAACAGAACCAGCTTGTTAGTAATGCAGAAAGGCAGAGCTACACTGGCTCTGTTTGTCTGCTCTTCTTCAGGGGATAAGGAAGAGGCAGTCCATCACAGAGGGACTTCTTAATTTTTGCTGTAGATATCTGAAAATCTGGAGCCTTTGAAAAACTCTAGGAGCTGCCCACAAGTGACCTTCTTTTTTTCCCCCCTCACTTCCCACAGGTGACCCTTCTCTCGTCATCCTTTATAAATATAAACTGGAATAAACCAGCATTACTCTAAGCAACATGTCACAATAATGTGTACATCCTGCAACATGGGCAAGTTAACACTGCTGGAGGAACCTTATAAGGTTTTATGCAACAGACAAACAATGCTGCATTGATACTCTGTCTTTTTGATTTAGTTCACTTTTCTTGTGCAACTCACCCTGTCACAGTAGTACTGACTGGAATCTTCTGAGGTGCTACCTTTTGTAACATTGTCATATGTTTCTAAAAACTGCTGATCCACCCCATCCAATGGATAGGAGCCTGAAGTGTTGCCAACACCATTGGTAGACTGGGTCAAGGTATTTGATGAAGTATGGGTCAAACAGCTCTGTGATGGACTATTTCCCAATATGTTCCTTCAGTAAAAGATAAAAAACAGAAATTAAAAAGGTACTGGTATTTAAAGGTTTAAATCCAACATGCACTAGTACATACATAAGTGCAATGCCAAGTTATTTTAGTATGGTTAGCCCTGGTTTATTATACAAAGATGAACACAACTTTTTAGTTAAAAGAGACTACTCAAAGTAGATACATTTCAGCTAGTATTGTGCTGGAGAAGCAACACTGTAAAACAGTAATGTTCTTAGGGTGGCTTCAGGTTTTTCCTATGCCTTCCACTTCTTCAGTTCTCTTCAAACCTGCTTAGAGGTGCCCCTCAGAACATCCCCCTTCCAGGTACAGTGAAAACCTTTGAAAACCAGGATGTGAATTATTACCCTGCAACGCCACCTTAATCCCTTCTTTGAGTCATGCCCCAAGAGGCAGAAAAACACGATACAACAATTCTGCTCACAGATGCTACATAATGCACAAGGGACAGAACACATCAATGCTGTGGAACACCTTCTCCCTTTGCTAATGCAAGACTAGGTCCGAGTCAAGCAAAAGAAACAGGAATTACCTACATCTGGCTTAGTCTAGAATTGTCCCAACAAACTACATCAGACTTTGAAAACATTACCAACCTGTGCTCTGAAGACCGACTGTGAAGTCATAACCAAAATGCAAGACTGCTGATATTGTACATGACAAGAACAGTCATGTGCATTGCTACTGACCTAGCTTATGCAGCTAAGAAATAAAATGAGGCACACTGGATCTACTGAATTCATTTTTATTTCTGTAGCAGTTATGCCAATCTACTCCAATTAGTTCCTCAGTCATGCAGCACAGATACAGCATCTAATTATTGGAGGTTTGCCTTGAATTTGTTCCCCCACCCCCACTGCTATAGCAAGGAAAATAAATCTGGGGGGTCAGATACACCTTTAGCTCTCTACTCCCCCCCACCTCCAACTTTTTTCCCTGGCAACCCCTTCCCTCTCTCCTTACTGTCAGACCCTGCTCTCCCCGAGCACATGGAAATGAGAAGCAAAATTGAAAACAATAACCTTGAAAATAAACATGGCTGTACTAGTTTGCATATAGTAGCCATGCACTTAAATTTATCCAGAACTGATGCATGTTACATTTTTTGAAGCTGCTAAAAGTTTTGGCACAGGTACTCCATAAACACACTTGTGAACAGAATTTTAGCACCTACATATATGTAGTATAAATTATGCATGATATTGGTCCAAATTCAAAGAACATAGTTCGCTGGGCTGGGCCCCACAAACAATCAACAGTGTTTCAAGCCATAGTGACTCCACAGCTTAGCATGTGCATGTACTCCAGATAGCCTCTGATAAAGGATCCATGTGCTAATTAGCCCCCACTCAGGACTAGAACCAGATGTTAAATGGGATCATGCTGAGGAAAACTTTGGGAAGCACTGGAGCAAGAAGCAGAAGAGGGAGACCCGAAACTCAAAACAATGGATGTGGTGGCAAGTAAGCATGAGGTGGAAAAAGAGTTAAAAGAGTGGAAGTGAAGACCTGGAGATAGATGGAGGGTGGACAAAGGTGGAGAAGAAAAGAAGAAAGAAGGTGACAGTGGGAGCAATGCCAGAGGCAGCAACAATGAGAGTGATGATGCCAGATGGAAGACAGGAGCAGAGGAGAGCAGGATACAGAGTGGGAGAGGCAGAAGTTATGTTGGGTGAGAAACAGAGGATGGCGGAAGCACAACAGCAGGCTGGTCCCCTGGGAGTGGTACGGCGAGCAAACATGGAAGAGGCACCAAGAGAAGCTAGAGAGGGTAAAGGCAACTTTAACTGGTGATGGGAGGCAGACAGGATTGACAATAAACAGATATGATTTTCCTGGAAAAGGTACTGTTTGAGATCTTAGAAGTGCAGGCTAAGCAACTCCCCAGCCTTATTACTTTCCCCAACCAAAAGACTTGGGAATTGACTTACCAAGATGGAGAAGGGTGAATTTTTGGAGGAACTATGCAGAGAAATGTAAGACTACATTACTATAAGCAGAAGATATAGAAAAATGGCAGGAGAAGTATGTATGTCCAAAGGGAAATGTCAGTAAAGAAAGTAAGGGACAAATATGCTATCTGGACAGGGTCTTGGAGGGCAGGAGTAATGTTACAAGCAGATAAGTGGAGCCCAGGTGGGATGCTGCACCTCCCATCAGTGATACAGACTGAGGCAAACAGGGGTTTTATAGTGTAGTACAGGCAACCAAAATGGCACAGCAAATGCCCTCACAGTGTGCTACAGATGAGGATTGGGCATAGAGCAGCAGAGTGCCAGGAGTCCCTAAAATGCACTATTTATAAGGGAGAGGGACACTTGTATTGAAGGTGCTCCAAAGCCTTTGCAAGTATAATCAGATCTCCCAAAGAATGGCAAAATCCAGAGGGGGAGACAAAGGGGTGGACACTGAACTAAAGAAGGAGGGGGGCAAAATCTCTGTGACTGAGTCAGCACAGGAGGAAACAGGAGATAGAATGGAAGGGAAAGCAGGAACAGCAAACAACTCAGACATGGAGGCACGGCTGGGGAGGAAAGACAACAGAAGTAGAGACAGAGCAATAGAAAGAACCAAAGGGAGGCTGCTCTGATGCGCTGGAATTCCAGCACACTGGAGCACCAGCATGGCAATTGTGCTCCAGCAGCCTCCCATCTCTTGTGCATCAGTGTCCCTGCACTTCAAAATGGCAGCAGGGGTGCTTTATCTAAAGCTTCTTCAGCAAGTTTTAGAAAAAGCACCCCCGCTGCCAACTGAAGTGCAGGGACGGTGATACATGACATGGTCTGGTCACTCGGAGAGCTGCTCTAATTAAAGCCTCCTCCCTGGACACTGGATCTGCGCTAATTAAAGCCCTCTCCCTCCAGCACATGTATAAATGACAAGAGATACAGACTGGGAAAAGAAAGAAAACAGAGGGGCTAAAGACCAAGAAGAAGAAACCTGATAATGAGGGAGGTGAGTCAGAGGCAGAGCGGGAGACCAGTTTCATGGCACTAACACCTCTAGGCTCCAGTCCAGAGTAGAGACCAGAAGGCAGGAAGTGGTGGGGAAGCAGGAATATGCAAGCCTTCCCACATGTGAAAGTGATTGAGGAACTTAGAAAGGCTACAGAAATGTGAGCGAGGGAGGGGAAGGAGTCTGCCACTCAGCAGTAGTACAAATGAACCATAAAGGGACAGGCACACTCAGCTCAAAGAAAGCACAGGCTAAACTTAAAGGGACAGGTTCACTCATTTTAAAACAAGCATAAACGGCACTGACAATAGTTTCACTTAACATCAGGGGTACTTTAACAAGGAAAGGATGGGAACAGATTGAACCAGTGTTGAACCAAGCAAAGGCAGACAATCTGCCTAAAGGAGTGTGGTACACTAGGGGAGACAGATTATGAACACTTTGAGAAAAGGTGGAGATGGGGACCATCTTGGTAATCAGGGACAAGTGAGAACAAAGCAGCAGGGGCAACAATGTTATTCAAGAACCAGAGCTGAGAGCAAAGCAGGTAGAACAGGGGTGCGCAAAATGCGGCCCGCCAGGCCATTCTATCTGGCCTGTGGGGCCCCGAAAAAATGTAGAAAATTAATATTCATCTGCCCCTGGCTGCATATCATGTGGCCCTCGATGGCTTGCCAAAACTCAGTAAGCGGCCCTCTGCCCAAAATAATTGCCCGCCCCTGAGGTAGAAGTCATCAGCGGCAGATAGCAACAAATGATACTATCAGTCGGGGGAACAGAATTAGAAATTTTCAATATATATGCACCACAGAGAGAGGGAAGGAATACACTACTTAGAAAGCTAGTGGTTCATGTGGCTGGAGGGAGAGCACAGATAACAGCAGGAGATTTCAACTATCTAATCAAAGTGGGTGACAGAACAGGGGAAGAAGGAAACAGTGCTTCAGACAGCTCATCCAGACTGTTAATAAATGTAATAAAAGAAGAGTCAGTAAGAGATGTGTTCCTCTTTATTGATGGTGGTACAACCACCGGCATGG